ACTATGAAAAATTAATCCTTATTATTTAAACAGAAATTTTGGACACTTGATGAACATAAGGAGAGACAGTTGAAAATTAATAAATACATAATATTACACAACACTTACATTGATTTAAACATTGAAATTTCTATTTGTACATACTGTAAATTCACTAAAAATCAGGAAGGAGGAAGAAATCTTAAAGAAGAGTTGGAAGTGGAAAGGACACATATTGGGGAATGCACCCAACTGCGTCACAAGGCAAGCACTCACATGAAATCCTGTAGGTCAAAGAAAAAGAGGAAGACCAAAGAACACATTACACCGAGAAATGAAGACAGACATGAAAACAATGAACACGAATTGAATAGAAAGGAAGTGATAGGACAGAGTGGGTTGGAGAAAGCTGGTCGGCGGCCTATGCTCCATTGGGAGTAACAGGCGTGAACAAGTAATAAATTCGCTAAGCGTTGAGTTATTTATACTTATGAGCATAGAAATATTCTATTCCTTCTATGTATTTCTTTTTTACAACTGAAAAGACTAAATCTATTTCTAAAACGATTACAGGAAACATACAAAATAATAAAGAGGATTTTTAGCTTCAATAAACGAGTTTGATTGTTATGTGTTTCCTAAACTGAAAGGTGTAGGCTGTTATTCTAGGCAGGAATCAATAATACTTACATCACAAATTGTGTTATTGTTGTCTATAACTTTTCTAGATAATGACAGTTAACATATAGATTTTATTCAACTAAATACAAAGAATATATCATACCTGGAAGTACTGGATAGTTATTTCATCCTAGTATGTAGATTTCCAATGGTGGTCTAGCTTAAATTCAGTCATGAAATCAATTATTAACAACCAGTTAAATCGCGTAAATATAAAATACATCTCTTACAATTTTTTTGCGTTGTTTTAACTCTGTTATGATTCGAAAAATTACTCCGCATGTAGCTCTTCTAGAGTTACCGCCGGCCCCAAGCCCGAGTAAAAGTGGATGGTTGAACATGGAGTTGGCAACCCCATCCCATAGAAAAAAAATCTAGCTAAGAAAGATCAACCAGCATGATTGGAAAATGTCTATGATAATTTCCTTTTAAATATATACTTAATTAAATTCATTGTATTGTTTTTTTCTTTACATAGTTAACGGCCATAATAATTTTGAGGAAACTTCATGTATTATTCATATTCTGTAGTTCGAATAAGTCGGTAAAGTGATTTAACTTATTTAAGTAAGATTTTAGTACTTGGATATATCTCTAAAACAAACAATACTGATTTTTTCCACCTTCACAGAAGTGGACTCCCAACAAATATCCATGAATCAAACCGATGACAATGAGATCTTGTGCCAAACGAATTGTTTTTAGACTACTGAGTTAGAATTAAACTGATTCCGGTCTTTGTTAATAACCATCTACAAATTGAAAGTATATACTAATGAATCACTTCTGAAACAGATCATTTCTAGGTTACATTCATTACAGGTTGATTTCAACTGAGATGCTATTGAAGACCGGGAAATACTGAAAAAAATCTGTTAAATTGAAGAAAAGAGAATGAGGCTGAAAGGTTTTTGTAAATATAAAGTTCTATCATTTGTAGTATTAAAGAAAATCAAGCAAAGAGATCAGGAATAAACCATCTCATTTTATTCTTTGACCATATAACTGTATGTATTGCTTTAGTTTACCCATAGGATAAAAAAGAGAACATTCAAGTATTCTAGTTAAATGAACCATATCATACTAAGTGTAAGTTAATGTAGCCTTCCCAATAGAAACTCATTATTTATAGAACACCACATAGTTACTAATATTAAAAGGGTGATTACCATTCAGAAATATTTAAATAAGTTTAAAATGGAATTTTTCTTATGACAACATCTTACAAATCATACTGATCAGTTAATTATTACAGAATCATTATCAGAAGGGAGTTTTGTGGAGATTTTAATAATTTTATATAGTTTAGATCATGAATCAGTTCAAGCTAGACCATCATGGAAAACCTGGAAGCACTAGACGGTCGTTTCGTTCTATTGTGGGACTCCTCAGCAGTGCGCATCCACGATCCCGCCCCTAGAGATCCACTAAACGAACAGAAGAATGACTGAAAAGGATAGAAATAATATATATTCACTGAGTATTAAAAATATTGCATACAATTTCAGTCCTATTTTTCTAGTTTTGTATTCTTGGAAACAGAATAAAGTATTCAAGTAAATCAGTCAGCAGGTAAATCTTAAGATCTTCATGTAATACATGTATGAATAGGGTCCAACAATTTATTTTTTAGATTACCGCCGTACCTTTGTGATAGCAGCAAACAATTGTTCTCAACAGTTTTTCAACTGAACACATTTCATCAAATGGTCACATAGAAAAAAATTTAGTAACAAATCAATAACAATTAAAAATATGGATCACTTCATTTCAACTCAGTAATCTGAAGAGAATATGCTAATCGAATCGCTTAAAAGCCTTAAGCTTAATCTGGTATGAGGTAGTTTATTGATAATGCTGAATTAGGACAAACAGTTGTCTAATGTTAACTGATTTAAACTGACAATCTAATTGATGTTAATCCTTGATAACCACCCGCCCCTATAATTATCTTCATCAAACTACTCATCTTCAATGAATAAATTACTTTGATTCAGTTTAACAAACATTTTTAGTATACCTTATCAGAACTCGACTAATTTGTAACTTTATAGGTATGATTCAATCGGTCAAAGTGATAACTTTCACAAATACTCCTCTACTATAGTAGTAAGACTGTCAACTCCTTGTTATATAAGGAGAAAGTGTATTTAAAGATGAGAAATAAAACTCAAAAAGAATAATTAGTTCTTAACGAATGTAATAACATTTTAAAGTAAAGCAAAGAAATTCATTGTTACATATTTGAAATTATGAGTCAATTGAAAACCATCATGGAAAACCTCAAAGCATTGGACGGCCGTTTCGTTCTATTGTGGAACTCGTCAGCAGTGCGCACCCACCATACCACCTTGCGAGATCCGAACCCAGGACCTACCAGTCTCGAGCGCGAGCACTTAACAGATAGACCACTGAGCCGGCATCCAACGAAACGGCCATCCAGTGCTTCCAGGTTTTCCATGGTGGTCTAGCTTCAATTGACTCATGATTTTAAGTATATATATAAATCACTGAAAATCTCCACAAACAACCCAAATTTATTGTTACTTTAAGTGTCTAAAGTAGAGGTTTAATGCAAATTTTTGGGGAACTTTGTATTGTTACTTATTCTAGATCCATTTTCTCAAATCCTGCTGCATGGTTTTTACGAAATTGTACTTAGATAATATTATTACAGCATACTGTGATTCATACTATTTGTCGCCAAGTTTTCCTTATCTGATCAAGCTGATTTAGTTTTACGCAATAATTTTTTTTCCAATTTTATCCTTTCCATCCGTTTTGAAGTGTCAACATTTTTTTTACCATTTGGCTTATTTTATTCAGATAATACTTGGCTAGTGAAAATTATAATATTTGGTGTATTTAGTGAGACATATTATTACTGTAGGTAATGGACTTCTAACTTGAATGATGAATTATTGGTCTATTAAATATAGTAATTTCAATATGAGGGTTTGTGAAGATTATAGTATTTTAACAGTTGAATCCACAAGCCGATCTAAACTAGACTACCATCGAAAACCTGGAAGCACTGGACGGCGTAAGTAATTGTGGACACGCACTGATGAGGAGTCTCATACTAAGATGAAACGACCGTCCAGTGTTTCCAGGTTTTCAATGATGGTCTAGCTTAGATCGACTCATGAATTCAACTATATTAATTTCATTTAAACAGAATTAAGTACTATTTTAGTTGAATGACAGGTTTCGTCAACCAAGATAAACGTTCAATGGTAGTTTCTCAATTCTAAAGATTATTTCATGCATAAAGTATATCAATAAACTATTTTCAGATAAGTAAATTATTCAGGCTACTCGCATATAATCAACTTAATTGAATAAATGGAGAATGTGGAAAATTAATGAGATGATTTGTAAGTAATACACCAATCATAAAGTAGATATGAGCATTTCATTACATTTTTAGTAGGCAATCTCGAACAGGATCTAACTTTTAAGTTACACGATTTTAACTGCTTTCCTATATTGTTAACAACGTGATATCAGAAAGTAAATTAAGCATGAAGGTTTGAGGCAGAACTTATTTCAGACTCAATCAACCAGTAAGCTAGATTCGAAGTGATATGGAATTGAGTTCATACCTAATTTGGACTAAAAACAAATATAGAGTACTTATGGATGGTTTGATGAGAAGATGAAGATTGTCATAATCTAATAACTGTCAATAATTCAACAAAATGTCCAAGATTATGCAAAATAAGTATACAACAGTTTATATAGACATCTTTTAGTCAGCGAAACGCCTTGGTTTAATTAGAAATTTAGTTCAAGAGCATAGAATTCTCCAGTTTTTAATAATTTTGTCACTGAAATCAGTTTGTGTTGTCGCTATAAATCTATGAATAGTTTAGAGTAAATTAATGTAATCACAAGGGATTTTGTGGAGATTTTAGTAAGTTAATAGTTGAATTCATGAGTCAATTAAAGCTAGACCATCATGGAAAACTTGGAAACACTGGACAGTAGTTTCCTCTTAGTATGGGACTCCTCAGTAGTCCGCATACACGATCCCGCTCTCGGGATTGGTTGAAGTTAGAAATTAACATCACTGGATGCCAGTTCAGTGGTGTACATGTTAAGCGTTTGCGTGCGCGACGGATAGGTCCTGCGTTCGAATCCCACGAGAGGATCGTGGATGTGCACTGCTGAGTAGTCTCATACTAGGATGAAACGACCGTCCAGTGTTTCCAGGTTTTTTACAGTGATCTAGCTTTAATTAACTCATGAATTCAACTATTAGATTTAATCACAAACATAGTTTCTACTTATCACCTAATAATTATGTCATTATATATTCTAGGTGATTTTTGTTATCAGATTTTAGTAGTTAAAGAGACAATTAAAACACACACAAAAACAATGGATAGAACAGAAATATTTACTTACTTACTCTTATTAAACATTCAGTTTAACATGAATAACTGAAGATTTACTTCAAAGGAATGTTGCGACGTATGTTAAATAGAATCTGATCAGCACTCCTTAGTTGAACTAACATCATCATCATCATCATCATCATCATCATCATCATCATCATCATCATCATCATCATCATCATCATCATCATCATCATCATCATCATCATCATCATCATCATCATCATTATTATTATTATTATTATTATTATTATTATTATTATTATTATTATTATCAAAAAGAAATATTTTGAATAACATCTTTATAACTCTGTCTATCTAGACAATCCATTTCAAGTTAATGATCTTTGTGTTTTCAGATTTATGCTATGAATACATTTGTTTCTAGGTGGAAGTAATAATTAACGAATAAATTTTTCTATAGAAACTTTAAGAAGACACTATCAGCAACAACCTACTGTGGGAGACAACATATCAGATTCCAGCGGAGGAAGAAATCAGGAAGAAGAGCTAGAAGTGGATACGACACACATTGAGGAAATCACCCAACTGAGTCACAAGGCAAACACTCATATGTAATCCTGAAGGTCAAGGGAGAAGAGGAAGACCAAAGAACATATTACACCGACAAATGGAGACAGACATGAGAAGAATGAACGAAAGTTGGATAGAACTAGAAAAAAAGGCCCAGGACAGATTAGGTTTGAGAATGCTGGTCGGCGGCCTATGCTCCATTGTGAGTTACAGGTGTAAGTAAATAAGTAATCGTTTAGCACATTAAAAAGAAATGTATTGAATAAGAATATCTAAATCATACTTGAAAAATAACTGGAGTATAATCTATTGTTATATATTTCATTACCACTTAATTGTCTATAGTTTCGATAAGTTTTCAACTTTTAGCTGTGTAAATCTCCAATTAAATAACTTAACTACCTTATTCCATAGAAAAAATGTAAATAGCTAAATGAAACTAACAGTATTGTTATTTATATTTGATCATTCATAACATTAAAATCTATACGTTTCAATTACACAGTATATTATCATTGAATATCATCCAAGTAACTACTGTCCAACTGTATACAGATATGGAATTGTAAAAAGAAAACAAACAAGCACAATATTAAGATCAGTTAGAAATCATTGGAACATCATTCGGAATAAGCCAAAAAATATATAAAACGCATGTATAAAAGGAGATGAAGAAAAGACAAACCACCTACGTACACACACAAGAAAAGAAAACAAAAAAAAGAGAAGTAAATGACCGTCAATTTATTTACACCTTGTTGATTATTTGTTAATTTGTTTTGTTCTTTATGTATTAGGTGATAAGAATCATTGGTAATATTGGATAGTAACAATAGTAATAATAATAGTAGTAATAGTAATATGAGTTTCCAAGTATTATAATAATCATTCGAATAATCAAGTCAATATTCTATTTTGATTGATTGTACAGATAGATAAACAAATTATGAAAGTATGTAAAATAAGTAGTCTATTACAATGTAATATAATGGTTATTTATTCACTATGTACATTAGAATGGTGAGCGGCCTATGCTCCTCAACGAGGGGTAACAGGCGTAAGTAAATAAGTAAGTAAGTAAGTACATTGGAATCATTGGTTACTCTTGATATCATTATTAGTTTATAATTAAATTTAAGTAGTATGAAGAGAATTTTTTTTACAAAATCAAAGAATGTCAATTTAGTCAATCGTCTATGTTAGTCCATTGAAGTTAATCTACGATTAAACTGTATATAAACAATGAATTGAAAAAAAACAACAACAATATACATGATCTACTAATGATTTTCAAAGAATTAAGCATAGAAACCCCCCCCTGATAATCGGATCCAAAAATATACTGTTAATAATTCATTATTTAATGTTTGATTCTTTGTGTTTAATACAAGCCCCCCTCCGTTCACCAGTGTACGCATCTATAAATGTATAAACAAATCTTAGAAAATAATTTCACTTCAGAAAGACATTGTGTAATCGATAGATAGATAGATAGATTGATTATATTTGTATACGGTTATTTTTTTTCCTCTTCTTTCGATAATCCAAAATAAAAGAGGAATATGCGAACAAAATACAAAGTAAATTTCCCTTTCATAGTCACCATCCCAACTCACCTGATTGAAAATGAGCAAATAATTTAGTTATATTTCAATCTATGGGAAAAAACTTTGTGTGTGTGTGTTTTCTCTTTTCTGATTTTATTGATTTGATTGTGAATAAATAAATAAATTATCATTGATATTACTATTATATTCTGAGATTGAATTCATATTTCTTGAATGCATAAAAATATTAGGAATTAAGGATGTATTCATTGTTGCTACCGTTGGTATTGTTGTTGTTGGTGGTGATGGTGGTGGTGGTGGTAGTGGTGCTGTTATTGGTAACTGTTCAGTATTATATCCATTTAAATTCATATCAATATTAGTTGTATTAGTTATTTGATCATCTATACAATTTGATATTAAATTTATATCATTCAATAAATTATTTCTAGTTAAATTCTCATCTTGATATGTTGATATTTCATTTAGATCAAGATTATTTAAAGATGTAATAGGTGCTGTTGTTGGTGTTGTTGTTGTTGTTGTTGATAAATTGGACATATCTTCTAGTCGATGATGATAATTTAATAGATCTGGTATACTATTATTATTATTATTAGTAGTAGTAGTAGTACTATTACTATTATGAAATGGAGATGGGATACCAGTAGCTGAGTTTAAATGAACATGATTAGATAATAAAAAGGAATTATTACTATCATTATTATTGTTTATTGATTGTTCTATAGTTAAATAACCAATCATTGAATGATTATTGATTGAATGATTATCATTAAATGATCCACATGTATCATATAATACATTATTATTATTAGTATTATTAGTAGTAGTATTCGAATTTGTATTAAATAATCTTAAGGGTAGATTTAAAGATTCATTCATTAGTTTATTATCATTCATATTTTCATTGTCTGTAATTACATATGGATATTTTTGTAGAATATAATCTGTACGTAATAGATGTTGGGATGTATCATTTAAAGATATATTATGTAATAGAGACTGATGATTAGTACCATTACTATTACTACTATTATTACAATAAGTAGGATAGTCCGAAGGAAATAATTGATTTGAATTACTTACATGAAATGTAGAATGTAATGAAGGAAGTAAAGATGATGGTATTACTCCTGTCGTCGTCGTCGTCGTCGATGGTGGTGGTGGTGATGATTGTGATGATGATGATAATAATAACGATGAACATGATGTTGTTCCATATAAATTATGAATAGGATCATTTAATAATTGATCATTCATATAATTACAATTAAAATGTATAGGTGTAAGTGATTGATTTAGACGACGTTTAGTACGTTTAATTGAATGATGTCGAAATGATTGATTACTACATAGATCAGAATTGTTTTCATTATCAAATAGATTATGTTCATTTTCTAGAATCTTCTCTGATTTTCTATAGTTTATATCATTATTCATTTCATGATCAGCAGAAGTTTGTTTTTCTTTGATAATAACATCAAAATGTTTCTCATCATCATTATTACTGTTACTATTGCATATATTATTCTTGTTATTCTTTATTGCTAATTGATCATGCATTTCTTCATCTTCTTCCTCGTCTTCTTCATCGTCTTCATCTTCATCATCATCTTCATCATAACTATCATCATTATTATCACTTCTACAAGTACTATCTTCATTTGAATCAAATGTTGAACCAAGTAATAATGGATTTAAACGTTTTTGTTTTTGTCTTCTATTACAAAACCATACTCTTACAACTTCTTTTTCTAAACCTAATACATCAGCTAATTGTATAATATCTTGGGCTAATGGTTTTGGTTGTTTAATAAAATGATTTTCTAATATACCTTTTACACCAATTTCAATACTAGTACGCTTTTTACGTTTACGTCCTTGTGTTGTAATTTTATCTAAATTATTTGTTGTACCAGTAGAACAATCAGCTTCATATAACCATTTTTGTAATAATGGTTTTAATTTACACATATTTTTAAATGATAATTGTAATGCTTCAAAACGACATATAGTTGTTTGACTAAATACATTACCATATAATGTACCTAATGCTAAACCAACATCAGCTTGTGTATAACCTAATTTAATTCGACGTTGTTTAAACATTTTAGCAAATATTTCTAAATCATCAGCTGATGGATAATCACCAGTTCCAGGAATTATTGTACTACTATTATTGTTATGACTATTATTATTATTAGTAGTAGTAGTATCATTTGTCATTGTATTGTTATTATGATTATTGTTTCCATGGTTAGTTGTATGTATTGTTTCATCAATTCTATTATTATTTGTGAAATAATCCATTCCATTCATAGTTGTTAATGATTCATTAAATCCATGAATTTGTGATAGAATACATGTTGAAGAAGATGGTGAACATGATTCAGTCATATTGATAAATTCATCAGATGATATATTTGGTTGATATTTTCCTATTGATGAAAGTAATTTACATGATGATACATTTGTTGTAGATGTTGTATGTGTAATAGAAGAAATTGATGATAAAGATGAATTAGATGGTAAGGTTAATTGTTGTAACATTCCATTGAACAAACTTGATGATGAGGAGGATGAAGGAGATGATGTAATTGGCATAGTTGATATTGAAGAATCAACTGAGATATGATCATTTATTCTAGGAATTGATTCTGATATGGAATTCATGTGACAAACAACATTATTGTTGTTATTATTGGCAAAATCTGTTGAGTTTTGATTATATACTAATGAATCAAATAAACATGATGAAGATTCAATTAAATTAGGATTGATATGTAAAAGTGTATTAAAATGATGCTCATCATAGGGATGTAGATTTGATTTTTCATTTACAATACTACTTGTTACTGCATCCATAGAAGAGGGTTGTATACTACTATTATTATTACTACTATTACTATTATATACATTCATTAATTCACTAACATGATTCATAAACATCATATTAGAAGATTTTAATTCATGTTTATGAAGTAGCGATTCCGTGTTTGAATCGGAATGAGAAATATTATTTAGGGAATTGGTCGAAGTCAGTAAATTAATTTGCTGATTATATTGATCTGATTGATGTTCTTTTTGATGATGACGTTCTTGTTGTTGTTGTTGTTGCCAGTATACAGATTGTTGAATGGGATTCATATATGTCGGTAAATAAGGTTCATTATTAGGGGAATTGAAATAATCTGTCTTATTTATATGGCTATTAGAAGTTTCATTATTGAAATGAATCCCACTCATCTGTGCCGATGGGTCTGTTAATGATGTAGGTTGTGATAAACCAGTCAATGATGTTTTAACTGATGATCCTCTTGAAAATGTATTATGATTGTTTGAGAATTCATCTGGAATCATTCTTATCTGATCAGTATCTACACTTGAATTGGTTGTATCCAGTATCTGATCTACATTGCTTATACCATTCATTGTAAATAAGTTTGAATTTGAATGGATCGCAAAATTAGTTAAATTATTATCATTAGACGTTGAATAATGCAATAATCCATCCGAAGGTTTTACAAATGTTTTAATCTTACTTAAGTCCGTTGTGGAATTAGGAAATGAATTAGAATGATTAAAATAGGGTAAATTCATTGAATTATATAATACATCATTGCTATGATCAATATCTTCTTCCATAGTTCTTTGTTGTATACTATTTGTTCTTATATTCTCATAATAATTTCCATGTTGTTTTGATATCATCTCTGAGAATGTATTTTCTTGTAAATTTACTATAGACTGTTTTGTCTTATTTTCACAGGTTTCATCAATAGAATTACAATGAAGTAAGTTATTATGTGAATTATTTTGTTTACATGGGATTAATTCTTGATTATAAACTTTAGTTGATAAAATATTATCATTTATTTTTAAATAATCATGTGTAGTACTTGCTAATTGATGCCGACTATCCTCAGTATAGTATTCATTATGATTACAGTTACTTTCATGTTTATTAATTTCATCAGTTTTCCATTTCATTAATAAGTTCGTATCAAATCGTGAATGTTCCATATTAGTTTCACAATTTCTTAATTCATTATATAATGGGATAACTTCTGGATTATGTAAACCATAATTACCTGAATTGGAAGATGGTGAAAATCTATAGAAGTTAGTTAATTGATCATTATTACATAATGAATTGTAATCTCTTCGACATACATTATTATTAGGTAACCATTGAATATTATCAGTCATTATATTAGAATTAGTCAAATTCTCCATCGTTTTATTATGACTATAAGATATATCAGTAATATGATTCATTGTATTTGATAATGATGTGGTAGTTATATCTGATTTCAATAAGTTCTCATCATGATTATTGTTACTAAGATCATTTGACCATGTTATTGTTTGTTGATCATGATGATGATGATTATGATTATCATAAGCAGATAGATTGGTTACATTTTTAATGGGATTTATATATGATGCTTGATTTTTAAAGGTAGATTTAGTACGATTACGTAATCCTGTATTACGTTTATTATTTTTATGTAATATTTGTAAATCTTTAGTTGGATAATGAATTAGACTTGTATTATTATTAGTAGTATTAGTAGTAGTAGTAGTAGGAGGAGGAGGAGGAGGAGGAGGAGTGATAGTTACCGTTGAATTGGAACTAATTGTAATAATATTATCTGGTTTAAAATTATGTAATGAATTTGTTAATGCAAATAATGGTGAATAATCACAAGCTAATGAACATGCACTTTCTAATAGAGATAACGGATTCAAGTCGTGTGTACCATCAAATTGATCATTACTATTATTATTATTTATCATATTTGATTGATCTGATAGTATATTGGTAAATGGAAGACTTTTCGTTACATCAGTATTGGTTACCGTTGGTATTGTTGTTGTTATTGTTGTTAATGGCTTTATTTTATTCAAGAAATTCAATTGAGCATGATGTATGAATTTATTATCCTCATTATCATTTTGTTCGATTAATCGATATGTGAATGATGAAGATACTGGTAATGTTAAAGATGATGATGACGATGATGACGGTGATTGAGATGATAATAATAATTCTTTCGTTGTATTATTTAAATTAGTTTGATATGTTCCCATTAACAGTTGATTCATTCATTCATTCATTAGAGCAATATGTGTACATTGGTGATAATTTCTATATGTCTATAGGCATTGGCTGGTATATATGTGGATGTAAATACTGTTGTATAGAGTTTTGTATACACAATAGACTGATTAATCGATGGATAAATGTGAATAAATTATATAATATTGTAGATTTTTCAATATGAGCAACCAACTTTGTGAGGTAGTGAAAAAGAACAAATATCAGAATTCTACTACTATGTATTCGATTATAGGGTAGTAGTAGTAGTAGTAGTAGTAGTAGTAGTAGTAGTAGTAGTATTCTAATCCTTTAAAATAATAGAAAAAGTATACAGGTAGTTATTGTCATTAGGTAGGCAGTCAGGCAGACATGTAGGCTTATGTTAATTTTAACGTAAAATTAACTGGCGCGATCTGTTTTTTTTGTTGTTGTTATAATTATAAGTAGTAACAGAAAGTAAGAGTGAAAATATTTTTCAATGACCATTTGATTGGATAAAAGACTATATACATAGAATATCTAAACATTGTACTGGTCAATGAATTTACGCATATCATTCAATAAAATATACAACGAAGGGGGGTTGAAACACTATCATATATAAACTTTGAATAATAGACAGGGGGGTAAAAATGAAAACTCAACATGTTTCTAACATTCATAATGAAATAGATAGAGGGATGGACGGATAGAGAGAGATTGTATAGAATAAGCGATAGAAAATAATATAAGCTTAAGGATTATTGAACAAGATGCAAGATCTACATTATTCGTTATAAATCACATACATGCATAAAGAGTGAGAAGTGTGGGGAGAGAAAATAAGGGATAAAAAAGATGAGAAAAATCAATTCATTTTATAGGTTGAACGTGAAGTTAAACAAAATTCCAGAATATTCCCTTGGAACATACAGCTTTGGAAGAAAAAGAGATAAGGATATAACAATTCTAAAATACTAAAGACTGGTTAATATGAAGTAATCGATTTATAAGAAAAAGAGGGAAACAGAAGATTTGCTCTTGATTGCATATTGATCACTTTGATCATAAAATTATTTTGCTCAAATAGTTCATAAATATACCCCAATAGTTTGTATGTATGTAAGTAATGATTATTAATTTAGTGAATAAGGTGGTATTCGATAAAACAGAATAAATAAAGAGTGTTGTAAGCAAAGATGGTTAATGACTAGCAGTGGACTCCAGGACGCGCGTTTCGTCCTATTTGGGACTCGTCAGCTGGATGTACCAGCATCTGAGTTGATGTTCTCTATGGGACTCGAACCCAGTACCTTTCGCTTCAAACGCCAGCGCGTTATCCACTTAGCTACTGAGTCCTGATAGCCGCTTGCTTGTGCGATGGTGTGAAGTTCAAATTCATTTAGTACTGTTTGTTTGATTCTTCCCATCGATGTGTTAGGACTGCAACTGGTCAGTCTCTTATTGGCTATATGTGCATACCGTGTGTATTGCCTCAATATAGCTTTAATTCACAAGCATTGTAAGCAAATAGTTTGTTTATACATGGATCAACTACTGAATAGTGAGTAGATCAAATTCTGTTGATCAGGTTATAATATGACCACTAGTCAAAGTAACTGAGTTTGGATGTAAGGTGGTTGGAGGTAGTAGATTATAAGTACTAGCTATACTTGGTATTAATTAAACCTCAGTGACCAATTAACATAAATATCTTAATCCTACAGCAAGTCAATTCCAACCTTAATAGCTGACTCATGCTTTCAAACTAAGAAATCTGAGTTTCAATCCTAACATAAGTATCAATTCCTTTAAGATTTCACATAAACTTTCCTGATGAGTACCGACTTACATGAAACCTAGACTCAACGCTTCCTATTAACTACCCCCCCCCATTAACTTATATTAAGTTTATATGTATGCTATAGATTTTTGGTGACTTTCTTGCATTTTAATGAAATAAAATTCGACATTATGATGCTTCGAAATAGGACAGTTTTAAATATGCAAATACCTGCATTCTGAATTTGAATGTTAGTCATTGTTACTAAATATTTTCACAATACGGTCATAGTACCGAATAATAAATACATTGATGGACAATGATTGATAAAACTAATTCCACTGATAGTTTATAATTATTCTGATTATCAGAGATTCAGATGAAGTTTTGTTCTCTGATCTGGATGGTTTGGTCGAGGAGCTTTCATTGTTTCTCTGAACAACATTATCAGTATAAATTTCAGGTAGAAGTCAAATGTTCGAATTTATTCACATATGACATAAAGCTTATCATGTCAACCTCGATCTTGATAGATTGGTGTTGACTTCCAATTTATCACCATCTATCGTTTTATCTTGACTGTATCTCCCATTGATCTGATTCTTGGTCATGTATTTATTTATGATTATACTGACTGGTTGATAGATTGGATCGATTTCCATGTGTTTTTTGATTGCTGACTGATCAATAAACAGAAATTCACATACTTCACTTCTACTTGAAGTTTGTTCTAATGATGTCGTTCAGTAGAACGATGAAATCTCCACGACCAAACCATCGAGCTTAGAGAACAAAACTCTACCTAGATCATCCACCTGAGCTACAAATCTTCTCCACTATGTCAGAGATTTCATTACAATTCAAACAAACGATTCGATTTTATTGACCTACTACAAACAGCATCAAAATTTAAGACGGATATTTTTATTTTGACTAGATACAAACTAAATTTCTGTTTTGTTTTAGAATTTAATGGACAGAATTATAATCTGGGCACCTAATCGTTTTGATTACATTAAGCAATGTGTGTATGCTTACTTTCATCAGCACTCTATGTATAAGATAGTGATTAATAGTTATTCATCAGCCATCAAATTCTTTTGAAAAATACCAATTTTTGTGTAGTACTCATTTCTTAAATCGATAAAAATGTAGTTTTCACCAGTAAAATATTGTTCAAACCACCCAACATTTAACTATTAAAAACCGGGTTCAGATATCGATTTTCACCTAAAATTATAAGTACTACCTCTTTTAATAAACATCAATACTTGGTAAATAATGAACAGAGGGATGAGAACTGTTTGACATTACTGTATTCAAAGGCATTACGGTAGTTGTACAGTAATATCTAAACTAATTTTCCCAAGTTAGTTCAAATAGAACTATTTCAATTGAGAAATTATCATTTTCATAGTTGAAATCATGAGTCAATTGAAGCTAGACCACCATGGAAAACCTAGAAGCATTAGACCACTGGTTAAGCGCTCGGGTGCTAGACTGATAGGTCCTGGGTTCGAATGCCGCGAGGCGGGATCGTGGATGTGCTCTACTGAGTCCCACAATAGGAAGAAACTAATGTCCAGTGCTTCAAGGTTTTCCATGGTGGTCTAGCTTCAATTGACTAATGATTTCAATTATAAAAATACTGAAATCTCCACAAAACCTCTTCTGAAAATTATCATTTCATTAAATGAATCATCTCTGAACACAATATTCAACATTAGAAGATTTGTTGCCAAAAATCAAATTATATTCTCTTTTTGTTTTTCAACAGATAATGAAATAAATGATCCGTTTTGAAGTAAATTTTTTCATCTTCACCTCATTTCCTATTGGTGTGACGAAATCATCCTCCTGCACCATTGATCTGGTTGATATTCTTGTTTAACTAAATGAACACAATCAAAGTAAATGGAGGTAATGATTATTTTCTTGTTCTCCATAACTATAGAAAGAAACCAATCTGTGATAACAATAATAATAATAATAATAGAATGGAATTAAGTATCGTAATGCACTTGGTGGATCCATGTTCTAATTGATAATAACCTTAACTATTCATTAAAACAATCTCAAAAATGAAACCTTTTTAGGAAATTAAAGCACTGATTATTACTACAGCTAATTTTTCTACAAGATTTCTATTCAACACACCTTCAAAAATGATATTAGGAATAAAGTTGAAATCATGAGTCAATTTAAGCTAGACCACCATGGAAAACCTGAAAGCAGTGGACGGCCGTTCCGTCCCATTGTGAGACTCCTCAGCAGTGCGCATTAACGATCCTGCCTCGCGAGATTCGAACCCAGAACCTATCAGTCTCGCGTGCGAGCGCTTAACCACTAGACTACTGAGCCGGCATCCAACGGTCCTGGGTTCGAATCTCGTGAGACGGGATCGTGGATGTGCAGTGCTGAGGAGTCTTACAATGGGACGGAACGGCCGTCCACTGCTTTCAGGTTTTCCATGGTGGTCTAGCTTCAATTGACTCATGATTACAACTATATCAGATTACTAAAATCTCCACAAAACCCCCTTCTGATATTAGGAATAATCGAATTTTTGGTGGCGTACAGAAATTTATTTCAAAACACTTTCCTTTTTATGTCTAAATCATCTCAGTTGGAAATGTACAAATATTCATCTTTCCATGTAATATGCATTATTATCATAGACAGTGACATAACAAACTGAGGTTATTGTTCATTAGGTGTTTAAAGTTATTCTGAATGGACAACTTGGTACAATGCTTGTCGAGATCAGTCAGCAAGGTGTACCTGATCAAATTGTATAAAAACTTCTTAATATTATGATTTTCAGTTGAGGTACAAATAGCTATGTGGTTATGTTTCTGAATACAAAACTGTATAATGTAGATCTGAGTATTTGAAAGATTGTCATTTCCTTGAAGATTATAGATATGTTCCACTAATGACTGATGATCAGAACTAAAATGTAGGTTTAAATTTTTTCTGTCAAATATCGTCTATCACTTACTTACTTACTTACTCACGCCTGTTATTTCCAATGGAGCAAAGGCTGCCAAACAGCATTCTCAAACACAATCTGTCCTGGGCCTCTCTTTCTAGTTCTATCCGATTCTTGTTCATTCTTCTCATGTCTGTCTCCATTTGTCGGCGTAATATGTTCTTTGGTCTTCCTCTTTTCCTTTGACCTTCAGGATTCCATGTGGGCACTTGCCTTGTGATGCAGTTGTGTGATTTCCTCAATGTGTGTTCTATCCACTTCCATCTCTCTCTGTCTATATATATATATCTATATATATACGGAATTCTATATTAAATTTCTCTGCTTATCAACTTTGTCTTTAAGTGCGACACCTAAAAGCCTTTGTGAAAGTTCTGTATAGTGTACTTTTAAGGAGTCATACATTAGGATGAAGTATTTACGCACCATCGCTAAAAAAAACTAACTTCACAATGAATACTTTCACAAACTCCCTACTTCAATATAAAATAAACGCACTATGGTTAGATCAGGATTACATGGC